TTGAAGTTCAGGTTCTATTATTGCCTTCACATACATTTGGAGAAATTTGAGAGTGCACGTCTTTGTCTAAATAGGTAATAAGTTCTTATAAACCCAGACAATCTGGGTCTGTAATATTTTTTAAAATAAAAAATATAAATTTAATTGTTCCTCATTTTTTTAAAGAAGAGTTGGTGCTACTAGTTTATTCCTTGAGAAATTAGTATCTTCAATATTTTTATTTAATACAAAATACAGCAAAATCTTTTAATGAATGGGAGAGGCTTGTAGCATTTGAAAGAAAAGAAAATTTTAATGACAAATCTCAATACATAGAATTAAATTGCTTTCTTTACTGGGATTTTCCTAATAATAAGCATTTTTTTTCTTTCTTTCTTACAGCAAACCTTGAAGAAAAAATGGGTGGAGTACAGGTCTCTGCAGTTACAGGAACAGCGCCTGCTTCATGGTAAAGGCAATTTCCTGTTCAGAAACCACATGAACATTTCATCCTTTCAGTATTTCTGCCTCTAAGTTGATTATTGTTATTATAAGAAAAATTTGAAAAAAAAAGAAAAATTTGTCCAGTACCAATCAACAGTAGTAGTCTTTCTTTAGCATGAACTTTGGAGTAACTGAGGAGGGAAGTCAAGTCACAGCCTTTCTCTATACACATACAACATGCACATTCATGCACACACTTTCAAGAGGTGTCTGGATACTTGAGAGGAGCAGTAGGAAAAATTGCCTGACTGCTGTTTAAGCAAATGAATGAAATTCCTGAGAGTGATTATGGTGTGAGGGCTGGGTAGCTCTCAGAAGCTGTTGAAGCTGGCATGGTTACACATTTTTCAGGTAGAGTTCCTACCATTTGTTCAAATTGTAAAAGCTACATTTATGCAGCGAAATCATGTCTCATTGGTCCCTAACCAAAACAGACGTGTAAGATTATTGCAACAGGGAATGTATAGCTCTTGCCATTCTGTGCGTTCTGGAGGAAAGCATTGAGCTTAATGTTTGTCAGCGGCTACTTGTTTTGTGACTGATGTGACCTGAGGAATGAACTTTTATGTACAAACACTTCACTGCAACCACTAGCTGTGTGGGTGTGAAATAGACTTTACTTCTTGCTGCTTCTTTGGATAACACTTAACTCAATTCTCTATATATAACCTTGGGTATCTGTTGAAAGTGATAATCACTTTGCAGAAGAAGATACAATTTTAGAACTTTTGAATTGATACATAAAAACATAAGAATTATACATATTATGGAGTACCATGTGATGTTTTGATACATGTATATATTGTAAAATATTTAACTTGCCCACCTTCTCAAGATTTTATCATTTCTTTGTCATGGAAGCATTCAAAATACTTTCTTCTAACATTCAAAATACTTTCTTCTAACTTTTGAGATATAATGTACATGGTTGTCAACTATATTCACCCTGTTGTGAAACAGTGGACCAGAACCTCTTACTCTTACCTAACAGTAATTCGGTATCCACTGATCTACCTTTTCTGGTCCTTAACTCTCCTTACTCTCCCTAACTTCTGGTAACCACTAATCTACTCTGAACCTTTTAATATTCCCATATGAGTGAAATCATGCAGCACTTCTCTTTCTGTGCCTGGCTTATTTTTTTTAACATGTGACTTTTAGTTCTATCCATGTTGTCACAAATGACAGGATTTCATTGGTCATTATGGCTGAGTGTATTTCATTGTGTATGTGTATGGTGTTTTCTTTCTTCATTCATCATTTGATGGACACTTAAGTTGTTTCCATTTCTTAGCTATTATGAATAGTGCTGCAATAAACACAGATATCTCTTTAGCATACTGATTTCATTCCCTTTGGATGTATAGAAATAGTAGTGAGATCGCTGGGGCATATGATAGTTATTATATATTTTTTAAAATTTTTTGAGGAATCTCTATAATGTTTTCCATATGATGCTTATACTAATTTACATTCCTTTCATTGATTTACAGTACTTCTCTCTACATCCTCACCAGCATTTGTTATCTTTTGTCTATTTAATAGTGACTATTGTTATTGAAGTAAGGTGATCTCTCATTGTGGTTTTGATTTGCAATTTCCCTGATGATTAATGATGTAGAACATTTTTGTCCACGTATTTGTTAACCATTTGTATGTCTCCTTTGGAGAAATGTCTGCCTAAGTCTATTGTCCATTTTTTAATCAGGTTATTTGTTTCTTTGCTCTTTAGTTTTTGGAGTTCTTTATTTGATCTAAACAGATAGAACTCTAATTAGGTCTTTATTTATAGCTTAGTAATGTGGGTTGAAACTTAGATGTTTTTGAAACATGTACCAGTTACTTCTCTTTTTTATGTTATTCAGTTAATATTTTAAAAAATTTACAAGACATTTCTGAGGGTCTCAAATTTGTTAGATTGAGATACAAAAACATCTTTGCAGGAACTTCCTGGCTTTCATAGACATGAGAGTATTTGAGGAGCCTTCACCTCAATGTCTGGTGTATCCCAAATAGTCTGGCAAATGTTGCAGTCCTTGGGCTCTACAGAAATGGCTCTCACATGAATGAAATCCTCAAGTCAGTATCCTCAGAAGGTCATTGTCACACAGCTTTTGGGGAATTGAGGGATTTTATTAGTCTACCTTTTCTAAAACTAAACACCCAAGGGATGAGATTCTACAAGGAAATTGATTATAGAACCAAATAAAATTTTTCTAAAACTAAACATCCAAGGGATGAGATTCTACAAGGCAATTGATTATAGAACCAAAGAAAGTATATCAACTCACTTTAAAATGAAAGAGTGCAGGTTATATGAAGAAGAAAGTAAAGCATGACTAGTTACTACACAGCTAGCTATGCTCAACCCTGCAGATCAAATGGAAAAAGAGTACTGTTTTTTATATCAATGGAGGACAAAGGAGAGCTGAAGTGGGAATAATCAGCACAAAACAAAAGAGTGTTGTGAGTGGTGATGTTCTAGAACCTCTCTTGAGGCAGATTCACATTCTCATCATGCTTTTCTAAGACCAGCATTAAAAATATCTCCTTTCTTTTAGCGGCAACTAACTCAAAACAGCTCCGCAGCAGGCATGTGTAGACAGGAAGGTGGGGTGTGATGAACCTTTCAGTTTGGAGAACCCAGATATAGGTTATAAAGAACTGAAGGAAAAAATTTAGTCAAGCAGATGAAATTCAGTTTCTTCAAATAAATTGGATGGCAGAGATGCTTTGTAGGTACAGTACCATTCTAGAGCATTTAAGTATTCTAAGACAAAATGTGGAATATTGAGGCAGTGAGATATATTTGACTTCATAAATCCTTCTGTTATAAACAGAGTTGAATTCTCTGATTTATAACTGTGTTTCCCATATACTTCAAATGGATTTATAATAATCTTACAATTACTTAAAGAAAAATAACTAAGAACCAGAGGAATTGAATTAGAAGATCCATAAGACAGAATTTCCTCAAGTGTTTTTTTCTTTTCTTAACCTCATTTCTGTGAAAATTTTAATGAAATGTTCCAGGATCACTTAAGTGTAGGAAGTGGTCATTTGGTGACTTACAAGTTATAATGACCCACTCTCAGCTGGGTCAAACAGTTCTCATGTGAAGAATGCTAGTTTACTGCCAATATTACTTGAGGTAATCAACTTATGAAGAGAATAGGTTTATTTTGGCTCATAGTTTTGGAGGTTTCAGTTCATGGTGGAGGGGTCCCATTGTTTTGGACCTGTGGTGGCACATTATGGGGGGAGCATGTAGAAGGGCAAAAACCATCTCCTCATGGCCAGGAAGTGAATAGGAAAAAGAGTAAGAATCCAAGACCCCATAATCAAATTTGAAGACTCCCTTCTTCCATATGACATAAAACCTCACAGCAGCTCCATGCTAGGGATCAAGCCTTAACCACTTTGATCTTTGGAGGACATTCCAGATCCAAAATATAGCATGAAGCATTTTATTTAAAGTTATTCAGACATTATAATTTTCTGACCATGAAAACTTTCCCTTGGAAGCTAGTCCACGAAACCTTCCTACATGGTTCATCAAATGACCTCAAGAAATGCCTTATTTATGTATGCTTATTCATTTATGAAAAAGCACAGAGGAAATATTCTTATGGCTTTTTGTTTTTATTTTATTTTATTTTATTTTTGTACTAGGGATTGAACCCAGGGGCACTTAGCCACTGAGCCACATCCCTGCCCTTTTTTGGTATTTTATTTAGAAACAAGGTCTCACTGAGTTGCTTAGGGTCTTGCCAAGTTGCTGAGGTTGGTTTTGAACTATTGAATCTCCTGCCTCAGCCTCCTGAGCCACTGGGAGTACTGACGTGCACCAAAGTGCCCGGCTATTCTTATGCTCTTTAAAGAAAAAAAATTGGAGACTTTTTAGTGACTGATGATCAAATCCATTCTACAGCCAACTTTGTTCTTTATGTTCTAGGTGACGCAGGTAGCTGCCCAAGTTTAGAAAACATGGACATGGATGACTTGTCTTTGTTTGGAATCCTGCCTGGGCCAGCCTCAGACCTCCTGGACCGGAATCGCTTATCCAGCGAGAGCAGCTGTAAGAGCTGGTTGAGCTCCATGACAGTGGACAGTGAGGACGGCTACCAGACAAGTGTGTCCGAGGACTCGAACCGGGGTGCCTTCAGCCGGCAGACAAGCACTGATGATGAGTGCTTCCTCTCCAGGGATGGGGAGGATTTTCTGAGGAGGGCTTCTTCAAGGAGGAATCGGAGCATCAGTGCCACCAGCAATGGGTCCCTGTCTCCCTTGTGGGAAGGCAATTACTCAAGCATGTTTGGGACTCTGCCCAGGAAAAGCAGAAGGGGAAGTGTCCGCAAACAACTCTTGAAATTCATTCCTGGCCTTCACCGAGCTGTGGAAGAGGAAGAGAGTCGCTTTTGATGGGTCATTCTGCCCTTTTGGATTGGCTCATTTCACAGCAGTCACTAGACTCCACCAGATCGGCTCTACCCAGCTCTGTGGGAAAGTGTGGATGGATTGCAAAACTGACATCCCATTTCACAGCAATGGTGACCTTTATTTAAAATTTTATGACGTTATTTTTGATTTTTGAATCATTTTTCAACCAGAGCAGTTCAAGTTCAAAACAGGCCTTAGGGAAATTAAGTAATAAGTTAGGTGGTAAAACAAATTAATGCAAGTGCCTGATTCTAATGCTGCCTGTGAAAGCAAGGAGTAATGTTTACTTTCCAGATTATGCATATGAAAAATTGAGAATTTTTTGGAGTCAAGTGTGAATAGGGAGTGACAGAATATAATGATTTGGTTACAAAACCTTGTTTGCTTAAGCTCAGTAGCTTCTGGAGAGCCCCAGGATAAGGCAGGTTTGAATGTTTCTGTTCAGATCTTTAAAGGGTTATAAGCAAAGATTTACATCCATATTCATAATAAAGCATGAAGTGTAAGGTTTAATATAAGAGGTTGCACTTCATGAGAACCAGTGAAAGATAAGTTATGAGATGGGTACCAAGGAAGACCTTAAAAAAGATCCTTGTTATAGGATGTCTAAACAAAAGGAGTGGGGAATCTCATTCTCTTTGTCCAATTCAATTTTCATTCTGCCTGAGCGTTAACAACAGTCTGGAATTCTCATCATCCTATCACTTGGTGACTATTTTTTTTTTTTAAGTGTCCAAAATCCAAAAAGTTAAGAGTTCAGAAAAGAATTTCCCTCCTGTATGTTTTTTTCCACATATTTCTATTCTACATATTCCAAATGATCATCATCTCAGCATTCTTTATTCATTTGTATCAATTACATTTTTTCAATCATGCTATATTTTATTCAATATTCATTAAAATCCATGACTTCTTTGTTCTGGTGATACAATTACTCTTAAGTAAAAAAATCTGGATTTAAAAAAATCTTTAAAATCAGTCCTCACTGAGTTTAAGCTGTGTGTGTGTGTATGTAAACTTGGGTTTAAGGATTAGTCATTTTCAGAAAAAAAAGTAGGGTGGGGTAAGGAAGCTTGTGTGATAAGGAAGCTTGTGTGATAGGAAGTAAATAATAAGATATAAAAAGGTTTTTAGGTGGGGCATGCTTTCTGTTCTTTGAGATTACAAACACCCTGTGGAATCTGCATGAAAGTCATTCAGATGAAAGGCAGGGTATAGCACCTTTCTCAGGCACAATAGCAATCCTGCCTACCATTTGCTAAATGCCTGATAGACTAAAGGCACTTCAGTATGATTCTGGAACAGTGGATGTAGGGCACAAGAGTTAAGGTGGCAGAAATCCAGAGACATCTCATGGTCACAGGGCTAGGCAGTGGCAGGGCTGAAATTGGAAGCCAATTTTTCCTGCTTCTAGCCTATCCTCTGAGTCTCTCTAGATATAATTTACTTTGTTGCTGGTTCTGTGTAGTTTTCCTCAGAGTACTTTTTATTCCCCTGAGAGAAAAGATTAAAATGCAAATTGTAGATACTGCATAGAAAAGCATATAGTCTTGGTACGGAGGAAAGCAAATGTTTAGGGTGATTCTCCTGGCTTTCATAAGCAAGTTTTCATATATAAACACCTTAATACCTAGTAAGAACTTGAAAACCATGTATAATCTAAATGGTATTGTTTATCTCTTGTTCTCTAGAATTATCATGTTAAAGATCAGCTTACATAAAGGCAGCATCTCTCATTAACCCTATTTCACAAAGCCCAGGAGAGAGAAAGACATTCATTTTGGGAGAGATGGTTTCAAATTCTATGATGAGAAAAAAATGCTTAGGGAACTACCACAGGTCATCTGGGAAAGCAGAGTCTATAGGTCATTTTCTTTTTTGCGGCATTAATACAGAAGTGTAATACTTCTTTATGACGGTAAATGTCATATGCAAAATGGGGGTAGGGAAGGGACAGAGCAAGTATCACTTCAGTCTGTAATAAGAAAAGTCAAGAGTTTGATCTATGTTCTGGGAAAAAAGCAAAGCTGGTTAACCAAGGTACAGGAAGGGAGGGGATGTCATATTTGGTGTGTTCACAAGCTGTTTAGTGGAAATGTGGGTCAATTTTTCACAGCATAGCTTTTTAGCCTGAGTCTGACCTGAGTGAGACTTTTTTGTAGAATGATATTTGATAAAACTAAATTTGTGTCAAGCATTTTGGGAATTACTTTATCATATGGCTGAATGACCATAACTGTGTCAAACAGGTAGAAAATATGCTTTTTGAAATGAACTTTTAATCCTCACTTTCTACTATGCAATACTTTTATATCTTCGGTGCCTGATATAAATAGTGTTAAAAATCTGAGTTTGAACTGAAGACATCAAACTTGGACAGTTTGTGCGTACAGCTTATCATAAAGTATAAGTATTCATGAATGTATACAAACGGAGTATAGTAAATAGTGCATTACTACATTAAGCCTGCAGATCATAAAAGTATTGTTACTTTATATTTGTTTCCTTACATAACTGTGGACTATAAAATCAAAATCCAGTGCCTTTCTGAAATAAAGAAGGCTTTTCAGAAAAGGAGATTTTTTTTTCTTCTTCCTTTCTCTTTTTCTGTCTCTTTAATTTTCTAATCAAATGAGATGAATGTTTTGAAAGCAGACTTTAGTTTTTTAAACCTGGTCACCTCTTGACACTTCTATGAAGCCATTAAAAGACATTACCCACGTAGTGAAACTTGGTGCTGATATTCACTGTCTATTGCTATTCAACAAATTACTGTGAACATAGAGGCTTAGCTTGTATTTATTACCGTTAAGTTTCTGTGGATCAGGAGATGAGCTCCCACTCTGAAGCTCAACTGGGGAAAGCCACACGTTTAAGCTCCCTCAGGTTGTTATCTGAATAACTTCCTAAGACTGAAAGATTCATGATAGCTTACTTTTTTTTAAGCCGGCAAAAGAGAGAGAGGCTTCCAGCAAAACAAGAGTCTTCAAACAATGTAATCACAAGGATAAAATCCATATTCTTTGCCATTTAATGTAACATAATCACTGAAGTGACTTCTCCTCACTTTGCCATATAGTGTAATACAATCATTTGAGTGGCATCCCGTTGTCTTTGCTGTATAACCAAACATAATCAAGGAGTCACATCCTATCAAATGTGCCATAGCCTGTTTGCTAGAAGCAAGTCCCAGTCCCTACCCTGAAGAAGCAGGATTTAGAAAAAAGTGTGAATATCAGGAGGCAGAGTTAGGGCACCACCTTAACGTTCGTTTGCAATACCATTCAAGGAGTTCACAGACTTGGTAATAAAAAGGTGTTGAACTTTCTTTAAACACTTTTAGTAAAAATAAATGGTGAATTTTACAATCTTAATTTTTAAATAAAATAAGGTAGCATTAAATAAATTTAGTATTGAAGAACTTAAGATTCTGTAGCTAGCCAAAAAAAACGAATCCAGGTCTATTACTGGCCTCTCAACTTTGTCTCCTAGGTCCATGGATAATAAGAGATTTTTTAAAGGAAATATTAAAGATTGAACTGGTTACTTCCTTTCAAATTCCACTCAAGGTATACAATTATGCAAATTCAGTAATAGGCGCATCTTTGTGAGCAGAGAATAGTTTATACTTACACAGAAACAAAAAACTTATGAGATTACAGAGCATAAAAGGAAATGATCAATCATGGGCAAATACCAGGAACATCACTCATAGAATACTGAAACTTAAGGGGAAAATACAGTTTGAAAGAATATAAAATATATATCTTAGAAGAGGAAAATTACCTCAACTTGATAAAGAATACCTACAGTTGAGATCATAATAGTAGGAAATTGACTGCTTTCTCTGTAGTCAGGAACAAAGCAAAGACATCTTCTCTTACTACTTCTGTTCAATGTGGTACTGAAAATCTTGGCTAATGTGATAAGACAAGGAAAGAAAATAAAAGGTGAACAAATCAGGAAGAAAGAAAAAAAACTTTATTTGTAGATGACATATGGTTTGTGGGGAAAGTCCCAAAGAATCACCAATACAACAAAAAATTCTGGAACCAATAAGTGAAGGTAGCAAGGTCAGAAGATACCAGGTCAATAGGCAAAAGTCAGCGCTTTCCTATACATGAGTAGTTGACGGTTGGTATTTGAAATTTAAAAACAATATTATTTTTACAATAGTACCCAAAATGAAATGCTTAGCTATAATCTAACAAAATATGTATGAGATATCTATGTGGGAAACTATAAAGCTCTAATGAAAGAAATATTAAAAATCTAAACAGAGACGCTGTGTTCCTGGATTGGAAGACTTAACTTGTTTTAAGTTGTCATTTATTTTCAACTTAATCTACAGTGTCAGTGTCATCCCATTCAAATACCAGCAAGTTACTGTGAAGACATCAATAAAATGATTCTAAAATGTATGTGGGAAAGTAAGATAAAATACCCAAAACAGACAACAAAATACTGGAGAAAAAGAACAAACTTGAGAAAAACACGATAGCTTATTTCTCTTATTTATTTATTTATCAAAGCACAATTTGAGCAAAGAATAATTCATGACAAGGGCAACAACACTCAGAGTCAGAAGCAGTTCAGACAGCTCAGCTCAATGGTGCAAACAATGAGCTTTCATGAGCCAAACAGGGATACCAAGTAGACGGGTTAACATTTTTATCCATAGAAAATGTTCTAGTTCTCCAATACCAATTTTTCTATAAGGTTTAATTTGTATTTTATGAGTCCATCTTGAAAGCAAAGTAGAGGAATCATTAAATTGGCTCTAGCTAGACAGCTGCCTTATCTGGGCATGACATGATGAAGCATTTGGGCGTGGTTTGTTCTATTGGTCACCTCCTATGGCTGATGCCTGGCTGTTTGAGATGGGCTGACACCCAGATCAGGTTTCACCTTGCTTATACTCTGAGCTAGGTTGCAGTTTGTGATATTGCAACTCAAAGTAGAGAAATAATCTTAGGCCAATGTTCTATAGCTCATTTAATAGATGTATTTACAGTTTTTAAAGTCTTAATTTTTTTTGTTGATCTTCTGCCTATTCTATTATTGAAAGTGGGATATTAAAGTTCTTAGTGATTATTGTTAAATTGTCTATTTCACTCTTTGATTCTTTCTGATTTCCCCTTATATATTTTGGAGCTCTCTCATTAGGTTCTTACATGACTCCAGTAGGCATGTCTTCCTGATGGGTTAGCATTTTTATATTTTAGAAATGTTCTTATCTCTAATGCCAAGTTTTGTCTTAAGGTCAAATTTGTCTGATCTGGGTACAGCCACTCTAACTCTGTTGCATAATGCTTGCATAGTAAACCTTTTCCTATTTTCAAACATTTACAATATTTTTGACTTTTCTGCACCCCCAAAATGTTTATTTTTTTATCTTTTTGTCCTTTATTCTATTTTATGGTGAATGACCCTTTTTGACTTTGGAGTGTGATATCGACTCTACTTTCTTTTTTTTTTTAATGTTCTTTTTAGATATGGATGATAGTAGGGTATATTTTGACATATTGTACATACATGGAGTATAACTCACTCTAATTAGGATCCTATTCTTGTGGTTGTACATGATGTGGAGTTACCCTGGTTTTGAATCCATATACAGGGATAGGAAAATTATGTCAGATTAATTCTACTGTCTTTTCTATTCCCCTCCCCCTTTCTTTCCCTTCATTCCCCTTTGTCTAATCCAATGGACTTCTATTCTTTCCCCACACATACCCTCCCTTGTTGGGGGTTAGTCTCCACATATGGAGAACATTCAGCCTTTGCTTTTTGGGGACTGGCTTATTTCACTTAGCATGATATTCTCCAGTTGCATCAATTCACTGACAAATGCCATAATTTCATTCTTCTTTATGGCTGACTATATTCCATTGTGTATATATTAACATTTTCTTTATCCATTCATCCATTGAAGGGCACCTAAGTTGGTTCCAGAGCTTGGCTATTGTAAACTGGGCTGCTATAAACATTGATGTTCTGTGTCACTCTAGTATGCTGAATTTAAGTCCTTTGGGTATAAATCAAGGAATAGGATATCTGGGTCAAATGATGTTGCCATTCCAAGTTTTCTGAGGAATCGCTATACTGCTTTCCAGAGTGGTTGTACCAATTTGCAGTCCTACCAGCAATGTACGAGTGAATCTTTTCCCCAATATCCTTGCTAACTTTTATTGTTACTTGTATTCTTGATAATTGTCATTCTGACTGGATTGAGATGGAATCTCAGTGTAGTTTTAGTTTGCATTTCTTTAATTGCCAGAGATGTTGAACATTTTTTTTTCATATATATTTTGACCATTTGTATTTCTTCTTCTCTAAAGTACTTGTTGAGTTCCTTTGCCTATTTATTGATTGGGTGGTTTTTACTGTTATCATCATCATCATCATCATTATTATTTTTTTTGGTGGTAAGATTTTTGAGTTCTTTGTATAGCCTAGAGATTATGCTCTATCTGAAGTGCAGATGGTAAAAACTTTCTCCAATTCTGTAGGCTCTCTCTTCATATGCTTAATTGTTTCTTTTGCTGTGAAGAAGCTTTTTAGTTTAATAAAATTCCATTTATTGATTCTTGATTTTATACGCTTTGGGAGTCTTATTGAGGAAGTCAGTTCCTAAGTGACATAATCAATAATTGGGTATAACTATTCTTCTTATAGTCACAGGGTCTCTGGTCTAATGTCTTGGTCCTTGATGCACTTTGATGTGAGTTTTGTGCAGGGTGAGAGAAAGGAGTTCAATTTCATTCTACATATGGATTTCCAGTTTTCCTAGGACCATTTGTTGAAGAGGCTATCTTTCTGCTAATGTATGTTTATGTGCCTTTGTCTAGTGTGAGATAACTGTATTTATGGAGGTGTGTCTTCATGTCTTCTGTTCTCTTCCATTGGTCTTCGTGTCTGTTTTTGTGCCGATACCATTCCATTTTGTTATTGTAGCTGTGTAGTATAATTTAAGGTTTGGTACTGTGATATCTCCTGCTTCACTCTTCTTGCTAAGGATTGCTTTGGCTATTCTGGGCCTCTAATTTTTCCAAATGAATTTCATGACTTCTTCTTATATATCTATGAAGAATGTCATTGGAATTTTAATAGGAATTGCATTAAATCTGTATAGCATTTTGGTAGTATGGCTATTTTGACAATTAATTCTGCCTATCTAAGAACATGGGAGATCTTTCCATTTTCTGACGTTTTCTTCAATTCCATTCTTTAGTGTTCTGTCATTTTCATTTTAGGGATCTTTCACCTCTTTTTTTAGATTGATTCCCAGGTTTTTTGTTTTGTTTTGTTTTGATTCATCAAAATGATAATTCCAGAAAGAAAAAATTGATAGATTGGAATTTATTAAAATGACAAACTTCTGCTTTGTGGAAGTACTGTAGAGAGTCAAAAGGCAAGCCACAGATTGCCAGGAAATATGAATAAACCATGGTATACCCATACAAAGGAGTACTATTCAGCTATTTTCAAGCCACTAAAGGACAGGATAAATCTTAAATACAGGTTGCTAAGTGAAAGAAGCTAGTCTGAAAGTGTACATACTCTATGTTTCTAGT